CACCATCTCTTCAAATTTTTGTCGATTTAGAAAACATATTTTGAACTTTCGATGAGCCATTTTTGGTATTTCTAGCTCCAAAATGAGCTTAGATATGTCCTGCTGCTCATTTGATATTTTTCAAGCTATTTTGAGGAATTTCGATCTCTCCGATCAGTTCAAAAATTCTTGACTTTCTTTGTTGGTCCATTTCTATACACTTTTTACTGAATTCCTTAAATCTCAAATGTATTCCAAAAAATTAATGAATCAGAATTCAACATTTATAGTCATAGTCATCGACGTCTTCTGACGTAAATCAGAAGAACATCTTGTGATTCTGAATCCTGCGCCCACTTTTGACAAAATTTGTTAAATTTTTGAGGAAATGAGTAGCACTTTTTTTTGAAATCCCACACTTTAGGAAACTCAATATATTAGAAAAGTTGAAAAATGCAGATATTCTAAAGTTTTGAGAAATTTCGAAAGATTCCAAAAATTCAAAAAAGTTAGAAAATATTAAAAATACTAAAAATTCGAAAATCCCAAAAAAATCGGAGAAATCAGAATTTTAGAAATTAAGCGATTCCAAAGTTCGGATATTCAAAAAATCGGGTTTTCAGAATCCCTGAATTTTTCAATTCTCTCAAAATTTAACAATATTCTGAAACCCCTAATAGACCAGATCATTTTCTAAAAATTGCGAAAAACTCTAAAATTAGAAAAAAAAACTGTAAATCTCTCAGAATCCCTAAAACCCCACAGTTTCTTGTGATTCCTTAAATACCGTAAAACCTGTATTAGAAGGGCCGGCCCTTTTATTTTTCCAAGATACCTCCGGAGGGCCCTTCTATTACAGGGCCCTCCAACTAGAGGGAACTCTTCTGTTTTTCCGGCCAGTTCTTCCGAAATTTTGCATCAAAAAATTCGACGAGTTTTCGTTCAAAATTCATGAAAATCTGCCGATTTCACTAAAATTTAGCATGATTTTTTGGTACTTTTTCACAGAGGGCCCTTCTATTACAGGGGTCCCTTCTATTTTTCCAAACCACTCTCGGAGGGTCTTAGATTCTTTGAATATCCCAAAAGTTCCTAAACATCCCAAAATGCCTGTTTTTCGGTTTTTTTTTTCTAAAATAGGACTGAAAATTTCATGGATACCTTTCCCACGATTTCACTTTTTTCACCAAAATTTTTTTCTCTAATTCTCTCCTGGAATTTTCTCTCTCTCTCCCATCCAGAAGAAGTTCAACACAAAACTTTCCCTTTGAACTAAATAAAATTATTACAAATTCATATATCTCAATATCTCTGTTTATTCATCGCATTCCCGACGACAAAATTTTGAATATAGGCTAAAAGAGAGAGAGAGAGAGAGAGAAATGACATACCTATAAACAATCTGATAAAATCCGGATTTCCAAAATTTCGGACTTTTCCCCTTCCCTTCTTCTCCATATATGTATATTTTCTTCGTTTTCCTGAACAATACATAGTTAAAGGTGAGAAGAAGAAGAAGAAGAAGAGATAAGAATCGAGAGAGGGGGGTGGATGGACATTTCCATCGTATTCCGCGGAAAATGAGGGATTTCAGAAATTGAAGAAGGAAAAGAAGGAAAAGAGAAAAGCCGAAAATGTATTCATGACTTTCTCGGACGGTGAAATTTTACTGTCTTTCTTGGATTTTTGAGTTTTTCAATTTTCTACTTTTTAAAAAAATTTTCTAGCTTCTTCTCTGACTATTTTTGGCTTATTTTTTGAAATTTTAAAATTTCTAATTTTTCAGATTTTGGAGTTTTTCAATTCTCAAATTTTTCTTAAATTACAATTTTTCGATTTTTTTTTGATTTTCTACTATTTTCTGACAATTTTTATCCAGTTTTTTAACTTTTCGGATCTCTGAAATTCAAAAAAAATTTCTTAAATTTTACTTCAACCTGTTTGACTTTTCGAATTTACTTTCAAAACCTGTAATAGAAGAGCACCTGTACTGTCAACAAGCTCCAAGTCAACAAGTTCCGAAATTTCAAATTTTTGAATTTTCAGATGTTTTTTAATTCGAGCTTATCTGCCTACATTCATTACAGTTTTCTGCTTTTCTGTTTGTCCTGATGTCCCAAATCTTTCGTGGAGCTAGACATGCCTACTTTGAGCTCAAATATCTCGATTCCTATGAGGGATATCAAAAACATGTCAACTGATAAAATGTTAGTAAAATTATTATAAACAATTTATCAGTTGACAAACTTTTGATATCTTTTACAGAAACCGAGATAAATTAGCTCAAAGTTGGAAGTTAGGGGACCCTTCTCTTACAGGTTTTACGGTTTTTTTTTTTTGAAATTTCTCAATTTTTCAATTTTTGGGAATTTTCGCATATGTGGGACTTTTTTGTTTTTCAGAGGTTTTTGACTATTTCCGGATTTTCTCCGGCGGATTTTTGAGTTGACCAATTTTCACTTTAGGCTAGACTTCGAATTTTTAGACTTTTGAGAATATTCTAGAATTTCGGAATTGGAATTTCCAGAATTTTAGGTTATCATTTAAATTTTTTTAATTTTTTTTTTCAATTTTCGAATATCAGATTTCCTACGATTTTTGGATTTTTTTTCTGTCTATTTGGCTAGTTTTGGAATTTTGGATTTTGTGATTTTTCGGATTTTTCTGGAAATTTTGATTTTCTGAATTTTCTGGAATTTCTGAATTTCAGAGTTTCAAAATCTCTGAATTTTTGAAATCATGGATTTCCCAATTTTCTGAATTTCGGAATTTCTGAATTTTTGAATTTCTGAATTTTTTCGAATTTCTGAATTTCTGAATTTCTGAATTTCTGAATTTCTGAATTTCTGAATTTCCTGGAATTTCCAGACTGATTTTATGAATTTCCGAATTTTTGAATTTCTGAATTTCTGAATTTCTGAATTTCTGAATTCCTGAATTCCTGAATTTCTGAATTTTTGAATTCCTGAATTTTTGAATTTCTGAATTTTTTCGAATTTCTGAATTTCTGAATTTCTGAATTTCTGAATTTCTGAATTTCTGAATTTCTGAATTTCTGAATTTCTGAATTTCTGAATTTCTGAATTTCTGAATTTCTGAATTTCTGAATTTCTGAATTTCTGAATTTCTGAATTTCTGAATTCCTGAATTTCCTGGAATTTCCAGAAAATTCCGAAATTCCTATCACACTGACTTTTCACTCTGAAATTCTGAAATCCTAAATCCTGTCTTCTGAATCCTCTCTCTACATTCCAAGTCCATATACAATTTGTATGCGATTGCTAAGAGAAATTCTTCTGAATACAATTTTCCCACGACTCCACTCAATTTTTTCATCAGAACCTTCTCTTCATCAGAACCTTGTGACTCTTCATTCCTCATTGATTTTCCCAATTTTTCGGATTTTTTTCCTGAAAAAAGTTCTAGTCCCAGTCTCTAATTTTCTAGCGTTTTTTTTTGGTCCTAACTTTTCAAATAATCCCTAGAGACCTTTTCTGCTACTTTTGTCTACTTTTGTCTTCTTGCTCCTGGAGCACACCCTTTCCTGACCGCATCAAAAATCAGAATATTTGTTTTTGTTTGTTTTTTTTTGGTTTTAGGAAACATATGATTTCTTTGTTTGTTCCGTTTTCAGAGTCATCGTGTATACTAACCAATTCCCATTGGTTCCCAAAGAAAATTTTTTGAATCTAAAAAGAGCCAAAATAAAGCGAAAATTTTCGTGAAAATGGGTTTAGAACTGAATTAGAACCTTTCAAATAAGCTTTCCCACAAAGCGAAACCCCAAAAAAATAATGGCAGGGTTGGAGAATTGAACTTTAGGGGGTCCGCACCAAATTCAGCGCTCTAACCACTGCGCCAGGGGTGCAGGGAGCGGCGGCGGGCGCCCAAGGCGCACATGAACCCCCATGTGGAGGCCGCCGCGGAAAGGCGACTAGCGCGAGACGCCTCACCTATGGCGCAGTGGTTAGAGCGCTGACTTTGGTGCGGACACCCAAAAGTTCGATTCCTCCACCCTCCCATTATTTTTTTAGAGTTTCGCTTTGTATAGAAACTTAACTTCTAATGCTCTATCTCTACGTTAAAGGGTCTTTCCAATTTTTTTTTGCAATTTTTTCGGATTTCCCTGCTTCCTGACGGATTCCCCAAACCAAATAGTCATCATTATTAGGTAGCGACCCATTGCGTGACCTCCATTTCACCCCCAAGAAGAGGAAGAAGAAGTAGGAGACAGTTGACACACAGGGATTTATGAATGAGAAATGGGTAATTAGTGTCTTAGAGAGGGACGGGACGACGAGTGGGGGTGGATAGAAAATCCTTATGAATTTCTAATGAATTCTGAACGACAACGACTCCTTTTTTCATAGTTTTAGACAGTGCTTCTGGTATTTGGTTGGGACACAAAAAATTCCAGAAAATTCTAGAAAAAATGACTCATTTTGACTCATTTTCATTGTAAGAAAACGCGGTGAATTGAGGAAAACCGGATGACGTGGCAAAGAAAAATTCTGGAGAAAATATTAATTTTAAGAGGTGACCGAGTTTCGGGGTTCTAGCCGCCCAAAGGGATAATGGCCTAGTTTTGGGTTCCTAGGCCATCAAAATCTCTGATGGCCTAGATTTGGGTTTCTAGGCCACTAAAAGCATAGTGACCTAGTTTTGGGTTTCTAGGCCACCTAAGGGATAGTGGCCTAGTTTTGGGTTTCTAGGCCACTAAAGGCATAGTCCCACTAAAACTTTTTGAAAAATTCAACGCTTTTTTAAAGTTCTAGATGTCCTATCTCCTCGTTTCCCGCTCTTTTTTTGGCCCAAAAAAAAACGGAAAAAGAGACGCAGAGAATAGGCTCCGCCCACTTTTCATTGGTCTCTCTCCTCCGCTCTCCTCGGCAGAAGAGGGCTCCACAGAACTATTTTTTGACCTCTATATTGGCCAAATGGAGTTTTCTGAAACTTCTATGATTCCTGCGATTCTGACGCCAACGCCTTCTAATTTCCCGACGTCTTCTAATTCTCCAACGATGCGATTGTGTTTGAACGGAGCGGCGACGCTTTGTCCCACCGCTTTTGTGGATTTGGATTCGATTAGAGAGGAGCCGTCGACGCCTTTCTCGGCATCGCGAACTTTTGAAAGAGACGACTCTGTATTCTTTCGAGAGTCGACGTCTTCTAGTCCAGAAGACGTCCGACACGTCGTCGCGACGTCTTCTAACACTTCCTCACCATTCAAATTTATGGAGAATCTACAGAGGAAACGGAAGAGCATGTTTAGGCGGAATCAGTCGAGCAGGTCAGTTAATCCGATGAGAGATTAGTATATCCTATCACGTGGGGGAAGTTGCAATATGCAGCCTAGGAAGGAATAGAAGTTGCCACGTCATCCAGAATCGGGGAACAATTCAGAAAAGTAACTAAAAATAACTTTAAAACCGAGAAAAATACCAAAAAATAAAACTTTTGGCCTTCCGCACCAAAGTCATCGCTCTAACCCATTGCGCCAACTGTGCGGCACATCACGCCGGCCGCCCATGTCGCCTTTCCGCGGCGGCTGCTACGTGGGGTGGTTCATAGGCGATTTTGGTGTCAGCCGCGAGGCGCCGCACCCATGGCGCAGTGGTTAGAGTGCTGACTTTGGTGCGGACCCCCAAAAGTTCGATTCCCCACCACTCCTAATATTTTTTTAAAGTTTTGCTTTGTATAAAAAACTAGTTTCAAGAGATATTGGGCTATTATAAAAGGTTTTTTCAAGAAGTCTATGTCTATCTGTGTGCCCAGATGTCCGTTGTTTGCTTTTTCTCTCTGGCTCCATTTTTAGATGCTCCTCGTTTCTGTGTTTCCCACGATTTAGTACCATTGTCCAGGAAATTCAGGATATCCGTTCTCCGGATTTTTTTCCTATCTGTGTCATTTTTCTCCCGTTTTTTCCTCTGCCATTTGATTGAGAAAATTGGAAAAAAAAAGATGGGACACATTTTTTTTTTCATTCCCGGAAAAAGTGCAAATATTGCGTGTCATCTGCAGGAGAAAAGAAAAAAATGGGGTGGGACGAGAATTTAATTTCTTTAAGCCCTAAGGCGGTCAGCAGGCATAAGGCGAAGAAATATTTTATTTATTGGAATGAAAATTGGGGAAAAAATTTCGATGGGGATCAAAAACTCTGGAACCTTCTAGCTCTAAAAAATTCATTGAGCCGCGGTCCTTGATGTTTTTTTTTTTTGGGAAGCATCACAATATAAACATGTTCTGTGAATGGGAAAAAGGGGAGAAGAAAGGGGAACTGGGATTTTGAGAAAAGGGGGAAAATCGCGACAAATTTCTTTTCGACATACTGTAACTTATCTTCCGGTGATTCCAGAAACTTGAAACTTTGTGAGAATATATATTTGCTTATGATCAATATGCATGCCGAGTTTCAAAAGATTCCAACAAGACTGAATCGAGATATGAGTCATTGAAATCGAACGCTCCAATTGGTTGCTCTAAATAACCTTTTCGCTCGAAGCTTTGTAACTTAGTGGCTAGTAAGTCTAGGAACTTGAAATTTTGCTTGAAAAGAAAAACTTATTATAATGAATAAGCACATAAAATTTTATCTCATTTGAACTGATGTGAACCGAGATACGCCTCTGTCACCTGTGCCTCTCCTCACTGCGCCCGGGCGCCTCTACCACCTTAACTTTAAAGAAGTGTATCTCAACTGCGAGTGAATCGAACTCTTTGAAATTTTGAAGCTGACTAATATGCTAATTCGAAATTATGGATGCCAAATTTCAAAATGTTTGAGCTATTTTGAACGGGCTTATGGTGAACTGAAGCTTGAAGGCGTGTAGCTCAGCTCCTATTGATCCGAGTCACTTCAAATTTTATCGAATTGTTAATAAAAGTATCACAAATAATATCGCCAATTTTAGTCTGAAGCAGATTATTATGAGCCGAGATATGCGTCTTTGGAAAGAACCTATTTTTCCTACCAACTGTATAAGTTCTCTAAATGCTTCATCTTCCCAGTTTTTTGAATTTCCCGCCCAATTAAAAAAAAATTTCAGCAGTCTCATCCCAACCGAAAAGCGTCGAACGTGTCGTCGCCCGTCGCTTCCATCGATTCCGCCAACGATCGATGAGATGAGCAGCAGTGTTGGACACGCACGAAGTCGTCGACCGTCGCTTCACAACGATTGGACCAACGAGCATCACTTGATGAATGGAAGAAACGGTGCTATGGTTGATGTGAGTTTTTTTGGAGAAAAAGGATCAAAAATGGGGAAAAATGAGCCAAAATGGGATCTGATACGATAAAAACGATATTAAACTGCTTGATATAGAAATAAAAAGATAATCCAACCACCCGGGCTATCGAACCTAACCCCTTCCTCACCAAGAGCAACACTCTTACCAGTTGCGCCACATGAGCGTTTGGTACGGCTAATGTTTGTGAAGGTCTGTGGATGCGGAGGCCTCCGGTCGCCCACGTGCTTAGATATAAACCCTTGCCGCGCCTTCCACCTCCTTGTGTTCTTATGGCGCAGCCGGTAAGAGCACAGACCCTAGAGCGGAAGGGGTTGGGTTCGATTCCTCCGCGCGTCTTTTTCTTTTTCGAACTCTTTTTAGTAATATTATCGACTTTAAAAACTTCCTTGTGGCCTAGAAAACTCTTAGCCCACTCAATTAGACTACTATTTACACTGCTTCTTCCTCTCTTAACCATGCCTTTTTCATCTTTTTTATGTTCTTATCAAGTTTTTTTTCTCCTTTTTCTCTACTTTTTCTTTCGATTTCGTGTGTTCATAAATCGTCCGAATCTCCCAAGAGTCGCATTTTTTCGCTTCTATTTCTCTCTTTTTTAGGTTTTTACCCCATCAATTTTTTTAGACTAGAGTTTAGATGGAAAAGTTTGTTCCATTTTTTTTTGAAGTTGAATTTTTTGGAAAAGAGGGATCTAGGATTCTGGAAGTTGACAAATAAGGCTTCTGAAAAATTCAAAATGCAAATTTTGAAATTCTGAAATTCCAAAGAAAAAAATGAGGAAATCTAAGAAAACAAACATCATATTAAAAAGGGAAAAGGGGGTCATCATTGAAGAACAAGTACTTGAGAATTCGGGATTTTCGATTTTCGAGAATCCGCATTTCCATTTTCCTTTAGCCTCGATTTGTTCTTTTTTTCTGAATTTCTGAACTTCTGAATTTCTGAATTTCAGAGTTTCAAAATCTCTGAATTTCTGAATTTCTGAATTTCTGAATTTCTGAATTTCTGAACTTCTGAATTTTGAATTTCTGAATTTCTGAATTCCTGAATTCCTAAGTTTTTGAGTTTCAGAATTTCCAATATTTTGAATTTCTGAATTTCTGAATTTCTGAATTTCTGAATTTCTGAATTTCTGAATTTCTGAATTTCTGAATTTCTGAATTTCTGAATTTCTGAATTTCTGAATTTCTGAATTTCTGAATTTCTGAATTTCTGAATTTCTGAATTTCTGAATTTCTGAATTTCTGAATTTCTGAATTTCTGAATTTCTGAATTTCTGAATTTCTGAATTTCTGAATTTTTCAGTGAATTGCCAAATTATTGAATACAGTAGTAAAAATTTATTTTTTTAACGCTGAAAATTTGGCTTGACTTTTGATTTTGACTGAAAAAAGCCAAAGCAATTTTTGTCTGAAAATGAATGATGGGTTGATTGCAATACTTTGGTAGATGTTGATATGATAACACAAAGATGGGGAAAAAAGTTGTAATAAATAAATTTTCGGAAAACATCTACAGTAGTTTCTTTGTAGTTTTTGTAGTTGTTTTCATTGTTATTTTTCTTGATTTCCCAGATTTTTCGTAATAATAGAAAAGTTTTTTGTTTAAATCAAAACTCACAACTTTTATGGAGAATTAAAATTATGGGATTTCGGATATTTCGGAAATTTTGAGATATTGAAATAATTTTTCAAAATTAAGG